ACAGCTAAAGATGTACCTCACTCCTCAACCAATGACCACTAGAGATAAACCTCACTCCTCAACCAATGACCACTAGACATATGCCTCACTCCTCAACCAATGACAGCTAAAGATGGTCCTCACTTCTCAACCAGTGACAACTGAAGATTTACCTCACTATCTAATCAATGACAGCTAGAGATATCCCTCACAACTCAATCAACGACAGCTAGAGATATACCTCACTCCTCAACCAATGACAGCTAGAGATATACCTCACTCCTCAANTCAACCAATGACAGCTGAATCTAATCCTCACTCCTCAACCAATGACAGATAAAGGTGTACCTCACTCCTCAACATATGACAGCAAGAGATATACCTCATTCATCAACCAATGACAGCTGAATCTAATCCTCACTCCTCAACCAATGACAGCTATAGATGTACGTCACTCCTCAACCAATGACAGCTAGAGATCTACATCACTCCTCAATCAATGACAGGTAAAGATATACCTCACCCCTCAACATTTGATAGCTAAAAATAAACCTCACCCCTCAACCAATGACAGCTAAAGATATACCCTCATCCCTCAACATAGGATAGCTAAAGATAAACCTCAACCCTCAACCAATGACAGCTAAAGATATACCTCACTCCTCAACCAATGACAGTGAGATATACCTCACTCCCCATCCAACGACAGCTAAATATGTACCTCACTCTTCAACCAATGACAGCTAAAGTTATGCCTCACTCCTCAACCAATGACAGCTAAAGATATACCTCACTCCTCAACCGATGACAGCAAAAAATGTACCTCACTCCTCAACCAATTTCAGCTAAAGATATACCTCACTCCTCAACCAATGACAGCTAAAGTTATGCCTCACTATTCAACCAATGACAGCTAAAGATGTACCTCACTCCTCAACCGATGACAGCTTAAAATGTACCTCACTCCTCAACCAATGACAGCTAAAAATATACCTCACTCCTCAACCAATGACAGCTAAAAATATACCTCACTCCTTAACCAATGACACCTAAAGACATACATCACCCCTCAACCAGTGACCAAATCTTTTCCTTTTAACCAAATATATTGTATTTCAGTAATAACTACTCAAATAGGCTTTTGGACCTATAGTATCACAGATTTATTAGAGCATGTACAGGTAACTAATGTACTGAATTAACAAGCTTTAGACATTAACTGCAGAATTTACTCCCTACAATGGCAGTAAGGCACATGAGGATGTTTAGATCAAGACAGGTTAACAAGTTTCAGTATTTCTTATTTACCGTTGCATTTGCAGCATGGTATTTTGCCATTTCTGTGCAAAAACTGTAGCGGTAAGACCAGAGAGCTGGGTAAATTGAACCAGAATCCACTTGCTATTATTAAACACCAATCATTATGACTGACATTTGGTGAGGCCGACAACGTAAAACAAACCAGATTCCCTCCAAATCTAAAAAACAATACTCCCATAATTATAAAGATGATCTTGAAAGCCTTTCTTTTTGATTTATCAAACCTCACCCTGTCTTGGCCCACTTTCCCTGGTCTCTGAC